AAGTAGGCTGGTACCTACAGCAAGATGCTATCAAATCAGAATGAAAATGGTAGGATTAGAAATCAGCCACATGAACAAAAAATCAGGAAACTACAACTTTTTAATTCTGAACATACATTTTCTGGGTTTTTTTCCCTCCATAAAATTGATATAACATTTTCCTATCACTAGTCAAAACAAATGCTATCAAGATGCCTCACTAATCATATAATCATAAAAATTAACTTATTCAACATATATTCATTGAGCTCCTATTATATGCTACGCCCACATAAATTAAACATTTAAAAAATAGTATACAAATATACGTCAGCAAATTATAAAGTAAAATAAACATATTTTTAAATGTATAAAAATGAATTTAGGGCTTCCCTGGTGGCGCAGTGGTTGAGAATCCGCCTGTCAATGCAGGGGACACGGGTTCGTGCCCCGGTCTGGGAAGATCCCGCATGCCGCGGAGCGGCTGGGCCCGTGAGCCATGGCCACCGAGCCTGTGCATCCAGAGCCTGTGCTCCGCAACGGGAGAGGCCACAACAGTGAGAGGCCCGCGTACCGCAAAAAAAAAAAAAAGAAAAAAAAAATGAATTTACCAAAGATGTAAGAAGTTTAAAGACTACCAGAGATTAAAATTGAAATACAGGGACTTCCCTGGTGGTCCAGTGGTTAAGAATCCATCTTGCAATGCAGGGGATACCAGTTCGATCCCTGCTCGGGGAACTAAGATCCCACATGCTGTGGGGAAACTAAGCCCAAGCGCCACAACTAGAGAGCCTGCGTGCCACAGCTACAGAGCCCATGTGCTCTGGAGCCCGCACACCACAACTAAAGAGAAGCCTGCACACCTCAATGAAGATCCTGCGTGCCACAACTAAGACCCAACGCAGCCAATAAATAAATAAATTTTTTTTTAATTGTAATACAGTGTAAGTAGATAGAACTAATTAAATGATTTTTAATTTTGAGCAGTTATGACTTGGCAACAATTAACACTTTAAAATCTGGTCCTCACATGTTAAAACAGAATTTTAAAAAATTCTTAATAAAACAAGTAAATTGATCTCTTTTATTTTTTTTTAGTGAGCTTGCCTTTTGTTTTTTTTGGCTGCGTTGGGTCGTTGCTGCGTGCGGGCTTCCTCTAGTTGTGGCATGTGGGGGCTACTCTTCGTTGTGGTGCGTGGGCTTCTAATTGTGGTGGCTTGCTCTAGGTAGTTGCGGTGCACAGCCTTCAGTAGTTGCCGCACACAGGCTCAGTAGTTGCCGCACACAGGCTCGGTAGTTGCAGCATGCGGGCCCTAGAGCGTGTGGGCTTCAGTAGTTGTGTCATGAGGGCTCAGTAGCTGTGGCTCACGGGCTCTAGAGCACAGGCTCAGTAGTTCTGGCGCATGGGCTTAGTTGCTCTGCAACATGTCGGATCTTCCCGGACTAGGGATCGAACCTGTTCCTGTGCACTGGCAGGCAGATTCTTAACCAGTACGTCACCAGGGAAGTGCTGATCTCTTTTACATTTGATTTTAAGGAAAACCAAAAGGTTGGCTTCATGCTCAGTGGTAAAACATTATACCCACTCCAATTATGTAAGCATTTTGTGAAACATTAGAGGCATTAAATTATGAACAAGACAAGATGCTCATTGTAATCACAATGTTCTACAAGCTCTAGCCAATGCAGCTGGTAAGTGAACCAATACAAGGTATAAAATCTGGAAAGGATAAAGCAAAATTACGTTTAGTTACAAATAAGGACTGCATTCCCAGAAAAGTTAAGTGAATCAAATGCAAGACTATAAGAAATACTAAGTGAATTTAATTAAGTTAACTGATTAAACTTAACAGAAAGAAATAACCTTCCTAATGTTAGCAATAAACAGGAGTTTAAGCTGTAAGAGCATAATGAAGAGGCAGCAGAGCAGCGGTTAAGGGCACTGACATCAGATTCAAACAGATATGGGTTGAAATCGCAATTCTACTACTTCCTAGCTGTATAAACCTTGATAAAGTCACCTAATGTCTTTAATTTTCAGGTGTAAAAATGAATATAATTTATTAAACAGTTAAGATGATGCTGAGCAGTATACAGAGCCTGCCATTTAGTAATTGAACTAATATAAGGCATTTTTATTTGCATTATTAATAATAGAAAGCCTCTCGTCCCTTCCCTAAGTAAAGAGAGGTATTACGTTAAGCATACATATACCATGTAAACCTTTCTGAAATCCAGAGAAGGGTGAAATTCCAAAATATATCTGGCCCTAAGATTTGGAACAAGGGATTGTGGTCCTGTACCTTTCTAATGGCTTCTTACGGAAAAAACAATAATAACTTATACTACTTCTAAAAAAAGCCAGAACCCAGGTTCCGCACAACTATTTGTTTTACAGTTCCAGGGTGCCAAGGGTTCAGTAGGCATCTCCACCAAAGAGTCAAATCAGTATAGATGACAGATACTCCTTTTCTTCTAGAACCAAACCTCAGTTAATACGAACCTATTCATTAGGAGGGTTGTTCACGTACTGTTAGCCTCTTCCAGTCAACATTAAGCTCCATTAGTAATGGCACAGACTACGTATTTGTTTACCACCTTAACTCTTGTACTTAATACCTGAACCTTAAATAAATCAATGAAAGGACTGCATCATCTGTCACCTTGCACACCTGTATCAGAGACATACTTGCCTAATTCACAATTCTAGTCTTAGCAAGTCCCTTCAGTTATCATTACATGGTATAGAATGGGTGATGATAAGGATGTATCAGTTGTGATGTTTTGGAATTTACTGGCTCAGGTAACTGAAAAGTCCAGGTATACTATATTCAGGGAAGACGTGATCCAGCATCTCAAGAGGTGATCAGGGTGTGTGTTTTGCTCTGCTCTACTCCTTCCCTGTTGGCTTCTTACTCAACTGACTTTCCTTTCATGGTCGGAAGATGGCTGCCAGGTTGAAATTCAGCAGAAAAAAAAAGTACCTTTATCCTGGCATTTCTAGTATATGTCCTAAGATCATTCTGATTGATTTGGCTTAGATCATATGCCTGCCATGTCTGCCTTAGGTTAAGACACATGCTTCATTCCTACAAACTCTTCATAATATACATGAAATAAAATACATTAAAGCTGACCTTGGTGATTTGAACTTCTTAATAAGTATACTAAATAACGGCATTATTGAATTAAAACTAATGGATCAAGCACATCATACAACTTTCCCTATCTTCTTAAAAAGTTATTCCCCCCATTTAATCACAACCCAACACGAAAAAATAAAAAAGTAAATTCTTCCCTGAATATAAGTCATTTTGAAGGATTCAGAATGTATTACCAGATTACAATAAAGGTTTATGATATTCCTTAACAAAACTGAAAGCAACATTATAAATTTTCAGGAAGAAAACAAGGTTCTTATCCCACTTTTTCAAGATTATAATAGCAGAATCTAAAGAAAAGATGGACAAGTACATGGATATCTTGAGTTGGGGGGGTGGGGAAGGGTGGTGTTACAGAGCTTTTAAAATAGAATCAACTAAATAATCCATCCTGCCACTCAAGACTCCTCAAAGACATTAGATTCATCACCAACCCTCTCTCCCCTACACAAACCTACACAAAACTAGGTCCTAAGAACAAAACAGAGATGCACACTTTAGGGAGTCTTTTTGACAGCGTGCATTCCAAAGCCAAATACAAATTATTTCTCAATTATTATGTTTCTACTATCATGTCCCTCATTCCTGTAACTAGCACAAAAAATAGAAGGTAAATGATTCCATTTTTATAACAGAGAAGACAACAAAATCTATGAGATTAAAAGCCAATACTCAAATATACAGGAGAGGAGCTGATTTTCATGGTAAAGTTGAATAAAAATAAATAGCAAATCGTAGAACCAACCAACTGAAAGTGTGTTACACACAAGTCATCTTAAATCAAAAGCCAAACTTCATTCATAATCCTAGAGGAAAGCAGTGTGGTCAAAGAAAGGAATGTGCATTGAAAGAATCTCTATAATTTTTCAAATCTATGAATTGATTTTTCAAATCCTCTACTGTTCAAATAATTTAATTCAGTAAATGTGCAATGATGGCTTTTTAAGAAGACAGAACTAGTAGACATAGCAGGGATATAAACATAGCCCTTGACATCACAAAGTTTATAATGTGCTACAAAGGCAATATACACAAACATTACTGGACAGCTCAGAAGAGAATGAAGTACAAATGCCAGTGGGTAATCAGAAAGAGGAGGATCAAGTGAACTGGGATGATATCCACAACAAGTAACAGAAAATCTAAAGGCAAAACTGCCTAAACAATAAGAAAATTTATTATCTCACATAATAAGGAATCTACAGTGAAGGTGGTTCTAGGAATAGTGAACGTGGCTCCAGTTCTACTTCTCTGGAATTCTCTTCCCTCTGCCCACCTTTAAGTAAGGGAATCACCTTCAGGCAAGATAGCTATAGCAGTTCCAGATGTCACATCCAGATAAAACAAGCTCTACAGGAAGGACAATCTCTTTTCTTCTTTCTCAAAAGCAAGAAAACTTCTCCCAAGAGCCTCTTGCAGACTTTCCTTTTATTTCCCATTGGCCAAAACTGGATCTCATGCCCATTCCTAAAACAATCACTTCCAATGGCAATGAGACCTACCATAACCAAGATTAGCATGGATGCTATTAACTATCATGACCATCACTTTAGTGATGGCTGAATATATCAAGGAAGACAGGCCTTGGAGGGTGGTATTATTTGGACTGGGGGAAAAAAAAAAGATAGAAACACATAGGCAAAGGAAGGGATGTGTCTAACTGAAGAAAGTCAAACTGCAATCACACATTAAACACACTTTTAGGGATAAAGAATTCTCTTAAACTGTGCTGGAGTCATCTTCTGTTAACACAAAAATTAACTTACTATTCAACAGTCGGTAAATGCTAAGCATGCAGGAGTTGTCTTCTCTTTAAGAGAAGGATTTAGGTTAATTACCAGTGGGGATAGTCAGACTCACCACTCACTCCTTGTCAAGAGAGCTATCTCTGGGTTGAGAACATTCCATAATATGCATACAGATGACTGTAAACTCACTGTCAGTATAAGTTGTTTCTTGAAGGTTTCTTCTCATTTGGGTTCGAGGTTTTACTCAAAAATCCACACACTCACAACTGGCCCTATCTGCAAATGAAAGCATGCAATTAGGAGGCAAAATGCTGCAGGGAGCAATTCCTTCCTCCCCCACCCACCTATAATTAACTGATCCACATGAAAACTGAGCTTAAACACCAGAGTCACCAAGCCCCATGTTCAAACTAAGCAACCTGCATTCCAAAGGTTGTAATGTGCTTATTACACAGTTACCACCCTTTTCCCAGCATGTAAATTTATTGTTGTGTCCACAGTATACCAGGTGCAACTCTCCCCCCCCCCCCACGCGGGCCTATCCCGTTGCAGAGCACAGGCTCCGGAAGTGCAGGCTCAGCGGCCATGGTTCACGGGCCTAGCTGCTCCGCGACATGTGGGATCTTCCTGGACCCGGGCACAAACCCGTGTCCCCTGCATCGGCAGGCAGACTCTCAACCACTGCGCCACCAGGGAAGCCCCTACCAGGTGCAACTCTTAATGCACCGAGCAAAATCCAACACACATTTATGTTTGGTGGCAGCACACAGGACTGGTCTGCACAGCGTGTTAAAGGAGAGCTGCCTACAGCTCTTTATCTAGTTATAAATTAGAAGACTGCATCTAAGCTTGCAAACTCTGCTATATATTTATAATAGCTCATGGGAAACATTTATTATTGTCAAAGCCAAGCCTGTTTTTCTGCCTTATGGATATAATATAGCATAGGAATAACCACACTGGCTTTGGAGTCAGAGGGCCCTAGGTTTGAGATCTAATTCTGCAAATAACTAGTTGTATGATCTTAGGCCTATTTTTAACCTAAGATATATTTCTTCATTTACGGTCCTTCGAATAAACTTATAAGCACTTAACAAAGCCAACAAACAACAGGCCTAAAACCCAACATGTCAAGGCTGAAATGATGATCCCAAATGCACTGCTTTCTCAGTCTTCCTCATTTCAGTAAACTGGACTGGGATCCATGCAGTTTGTGCTGAAACCTCTAAGTCCTTATCATACACGCTCCCTCATCCTCCCAAAAACATCACCAAAGTGGTTGATTCTTTAAATATATAATGTGAACTGATTCTTAGAATCCCATAAAAACCATAAAAATAAACAGCAATTCCTCCCTCAGAATTACTTTCCTGAAACTGCCTATAAATTCAACTATTTAAATAATGACAGTTTGAAATTTCAAAGTTCCATATTAGAAGGAATACTAGTATTTCATAAAAAGAAAACACTGGGGATGCCACATATCAAAGTGATGCATTACATTTTGTAAGCTTACACATTTCTTCACATCTAAGCTGACAGTGAACTAGGACATTATGCTTAATCCGAAAATGTAATTAAGAAAACTGAAAGATGACCAAAACTAATGAGTGAGTTTAGGAAGGTTGCAGGATACAAAAATCAATACTCAAAAATCAATTCTTTTTCTATAGAACACTTGTTCACTTACCCTACAACCCAGCCATTCCATTCCTAGGTGTTTACCTAAGAAAAATGAAAGTTTATGTCCACAAAAGCAGCTTTATTTGTAAGAGCCAAAAACTAGAAACAAATTAACTGTCCACCAACAGATGAGTGGATACACAAAATGCATTACTTCCTGAGCTGAACTTAACCATTAAATTTCAGACAGCATCAAAACTGCATACTCCCATCTCCACCCAGAGATTTCTATTCTCCAAGTTAACCAGTCTCAGTTCCACTGTATTGCTATGGAAAAAAGGCTGAATTTTCAAAGAAATGAGTTAACAGTGCTACCTTTCAATACCTTTAACGGTTGTCACAGAGAAAAATCATATTAGTTCTGCATCATCCCAAATGGCAGAACTAGAGTGAATGAGTAGGGGATATATGTTCTATCTGAGGCACTGCTGCCTAAAGGTGGAATGTCCTGCCTTGGGATACCTATCGTCAGAGGCTGGGATATTAAGACAGTGATTCAAAATTCCCAAAGACAATAAAATAAATTAAATTAAATAAAGTTTTAAACGCTTAAAAAAAAAAGTCCCACAGACAGTTGCTTTAGTTCAAGTTTATGATTTCTTCCAATCCTCAGATCATCTTATGAACTTAAAAATAAAATCTATTCTTAAATGCCCAAATCCACTGCAATTCGAAAGTCTGCAGTTTAAGCTGATCAAACTACAAGAAGCTAAAGTCCTAAGTCTTACAGTAACATTTTTGTTTACTTTCCACTTTTCCGCAATGGATAGTGGCTTACATCATCATTCCTTGACCCTGTAAAATTACTCTGATTTTGAAAGGAAAATGTGCTAAATACATGTCCCATTTCCTTGCTCATTTAATGTCAAATGCCAATTCCTTTTCCTTCCCAAAGAAATATACATCTAACAGGGAAAAAGATCTGTAAGAAATCTAGTTCAATGCCCTCATTTTACAGACTCAGAAAGGTAAAGAAATTTGCCCCAAATCTCATAACTATCACTATAATGCCTATTAGCACTGCAATAAATCACTGCCATTTATTTCCTCCGTAAGTACACTGTAAACAAATGCATATGACCATTCACTTAGGTTAAGTGAAGGAAGGAAGGAAGCAAGCAAGCAAGAAAGAAAATAGGCCCTGGAATCAAACTGTCAAAGTTTGAATACTGGCTCTGCCACTTGTTAGATGTGTTGACTTTAGGCAACTTATTCACCATGCTTCACTTTCCTAAACTGTAAAATGGGTATAATTCATAAGGCTATTTTGAGGTTTAAATTAGGTTAATACATGTAAAATGCTTGAAACATGGTCTGGCACAGAGTAAGCCATCAGGAGTGTGAACATCAGAAGGGGAATGGGTTTAAAATGTGATATAACATTATGAGAGTAATTTTCTCAGCAAGTCAGAGGACATTTTAAAATACGTATACAGGGACTTCCCTGATAGTCCAGTGGTAAAGAATCCGCCTTACAAAGCAGGGGATGTGGGTTCAATCCCTGGTCAGGGAACTAAGATCCCACATGCCACAGGGCAACTAAGCCCACATGCCACAACTACTGAGCTCGCGCACCTCAACTAGAGAGCTCAAGTGCCACCAACTACAGAGCCCACGTGCCTCAACTACAGAGTCCACGTGCCCTGGAGCCTGTGCACCACAACTAGAGAAGAGAAAACCCGTGCGCCACAACTAGAGAAGAGAAAACCCACATGCCACAACTAAAGAGAAGCCTGCGCGCTGCAACGAAAAAGTTTAGGATATAATAACTTTTAAAACGACTTTGAAGACTAACAAATATTTGGTTTCTGATTTATACATGAGGAAAAGGGAAAGGCAAGGGAGAATTTTAAAGATTTAAGTTTCCTAATGTTTCACAGAATTGTAATGGCTATGAGTACAAGAAGAAAAACTACTGAGAAGAATGGGGTGAAAAATAGAAGACTTTGTCCTCTCTGCTGTACCTTGAGGTTAAACTGATCTGGAAAGGAAGCTATTTCCTCAGGAGTGAGAATAAAAATGCAAAAAGAGAATATAAGGTATTCTTATTTTTTAAAAAGCACATAAAATGTCTAAATTAGTAACTCACTATCATATTTAACTCATTTCTACTTACAATGCCCATACTCTCCTTTCACAATATTTAGAGAGAAAAAAAATTATTTTCACTAAAACATCAGCTTTAATAAATATGTTGCACTCTTCAGTATGATTTTATTCAGGGAGGTGGGATGGTTTTTTCTCCCCATAAGAAAAACTTTTATAGTAAGAGTTTTTAAAAATAAACTAAACTTGTATCTTTCTATACAACTTTCCAAAACACTTCTACATATATGAAAGGCTGTAATAGGGAAGCAATTTAAACTGGAAAGCCTGTTATGGGTTGAACTGTGTCCCATTCTCTCTCCCACCCCTTAAAAAAAGATATGTTGAAGTCCTAACCCCCCAGGACATCTGAATGTGACCTTATTTGGAAATAGGGTTGTTGCAGATATTAGTTAAAATGAGGTCATACTGGAGTAGGGTGGGCCTCTAAATCCAATATGATCAGTGTCGTTATGAGAAGATGGCATTGTGAAGAAGACAGAGAGACAAACAGAGAAAACCACATGATGACAAATCAGAGATTGGATTATGCACCTGCAAGCCTAGGAATGCCAAGGATTGCCAGCAAACCACCAGAACCTAGGGAGAGGCAAGGAAGGATTCTGCTACAGGTTTCAGGAGGAACATGGCCCTGATGACACCCTGATTTTGGACTTCTAGCCTCCAGAACTATGAGGCAAGTTTCTGTGGTACTTCATTGTAGAAGCCCTACGAAATGAATACAGCTTCCATTTGATTAGAAGAGTGAAAAAAGTCAGACAAATCTAAATGTTACAGTCATGATCACAACCCACTACGCAAACAAAACAGGATTTTGGCCTTGCTCTGGAACAGTCACTGTCAACAAGGTCTCCAGCTCATCAGAAGTGAGTCCATGTTTCTATTAACTATCCCATTTATTCACTACCTAGGCTAGACGGCTATCTAGGCCACTAGGTTTTATGAATGTATGTGCTTTTCCATCATTTTCTAATTTGACAATTTTCCATGTTCTTATTTTACATCTTACTTACTTATTCTGACGTCGTAACACATAGTAAAATGAGATATAAAGTTTCATCCTCACTCCCTGTCCACAAATCACCCTTCACTCCAAAGACAACCATTATTAACAGTTTTTTTATATATCTTTCCACTGAGATTCCATGCATTTAGGAAAATATATCATGTATGTGATAGACATCAATGGTAACATATTCTGTGTATCATTCTGCACCTTGTTTCTATCACTTCACTAATTTTTGGAGATCATTCTGTATATGTAGGACTTATTATTGTACAGCATTTCACTATATAGATGCATAATATATTCAACCAATCTCATAGAGATGGATATCTGGGTTGCTGCCAGTATTTATCTTTATCACAAATGATGCTGTAATGGCTTTTTATTGTCTTTTCATTGAGTCCTTTCTTTGTCATCCTATTTAAAACTGCAATACCCTGTTCCCTAGCCTGGCAGTCCCCATCTTGCTCCCATGCTTTAT